GAAGAAACGCAGCGAATTCAATTTTTTTCTTCCACGAAAATTTCGCATTTCTTCTCCTTTGGCAAGAAAAAATCGAGGAGAGCTTTGCTCCGCTTCCCCTCCGCCGAATCTTTGATGGAGGATCAGAGCTGCGAAATTCCCAGGGGCGGGAAGGGGATGAGAAGGAAGGTTTCATATCGACGATCGAAGGATGGATCTCCGATCACGACACGCGACGTGGCGTGTAATTGAGCAGGTGTTGAGACAAACCAGAACCGCGCCTCTCTCGTGTTCCACTCTCGAGGGACGATCGAGACTCGATACTCGACTCCCCGTGATTTTCTTGGCTCGGTGACTATATCGTTATCGTTATAATTCCATGCAACGACAATACATCGTCGAGACAATTGACGACGGATGAGAATGATCGAATTCTTTTTTTTTTTTCCTTTTTTTTCTTATTCAGACTCGTTATTAAAGATGGATTGGAGAGATTTTCTTTTTAATATCATCTACGGATTACGATCAATTCTTTAATTTTCTTGGAATTTCCTTTGAGAAGCTCGAGTCGCCTCGAGATAAATGCATAATCTCGTCTAATCCAATTCACCCTATATCTCCAGCCACGTCTCTCTCTATTCGCCGAGTCGAAAATCTCTCCGCCTCCGGACCGGTCTCCGCGACGTCATTCCGTTTAATTATTATCAACCCCCGTCGGCTGGCACCTCGAGTGACGGATGGATTTTCGTTTATATGACGCGCGACGTGGCGTGTAATTAACTGGCGGCCAATTATAGAGACCGGGCACACCACGGTTTTTTAACGTTGATTCTCGTGACGGGCGTCGGCTCCTCGTCGCGATATCCTCCTGCAACAACCCCCTCTTGGCCTCTTCCTCCGTTCCCAAACCTGCTAACGTTAGACGAATAGAGTGTGGAATGGGGAGTGCGTGTGTGTGTGTGTGTGTACAGCTCGATCGAATTTATGCCAGTCGAGAGAATGTCGATAACATTTCGTAGAGAAGAAAAGAGATAAAGAGAAAAAGAGAGAGAGAGAGAAAAATAAATCCTTTTTGGATAGGATGACACGTTGAGTTTTTGGAAGAGGTGGAGGAAGGAGTGGAAAAAAATATCGAGGTAAGGGATCGAGGTAAGGTAAGAGAGAAATAACTTAACACAAGAGATTTCAATTACTTTTTTCTTTTTTTTCCGATTTTTTTCTTTTTTTTTTTTTTTTTCCTTCTCTCGTTTCATTTCACTTCATTTCACCATTATCTGTAGGATAGTGGCATTAAAAAATGTTTATTAATATAATATGTATACTTCCTTAAAATCATCCATACTCGTATTCTCATAGCGTAATAATCATAATAATATATATAATCATTATAATAATATATATATCTATATTTATTTATAATATATATATTATGTATATGTATTTCGCATATAGAGAATAGTCAATTACATAGTAGGTTTGCGTAGGTTTCTTTTTTTTTTTTCCTGTCGTATTTTTCATTATTACCATTAATCGTTATTATTATTTTTTTTTTCCATTTTTTTTGTTCATTTACTCTTTAAATGTAAGGTATTCAATTACTAAACATATAAAAGCGGTATAAAGCTCGATCCACACACGCTAATTATATCTCTTCTTTTCTTTTTCCTCCTTTGTCTGTTCATTCTCACCCCCGAATTCTAATTATAATTAATTACAAATCGTCGCGTCTCACCCCACCAGTGTATTTTTTTTCTTTTTCCTTTTTTTCCTTTTTTTTTTGGTTTGTTTTTTCTTTTCGTTTTTTTTTTTTTTTAACCTTATATGTGCTTTTCCTGTTCTTCTTCCCTTAAAAAAATCTTTTTTTCTTATTCCTCTTTTCTTAATTAAATAAATTGCCGTTTCGCGAAAATTTCCTCCCCCTTTTTCTTTCTTTTTCTCTCTTTCATCGCTTAAATCGTTTCCTCGCATTCCCATACCATCGCATTCTTTTTCTCTCACTCTCGCTCTCTCTCTTTCTCGTTCTCCAACGCGTTCTCTCTTCCTTTCCTTTTCTTTTCTTTTCTTTAAATCTAGGCGCGCGCAGCGTAATTCCGCGATGCATTCCGTTTTAATGCTTACGAGCGTACCCCTTTAAAGTGTACTTCCTCTGCTCGTCCCTCTTTCGCTCGTTTCCACCCCACACAGACTTGTCGAGAATTCAATGCACGCTACGTTAAAAGAAAAGAAATAAAACAACAACAACAATAACAATAATAATAATAATAATAATAATAATAATAATAATAATAATAATAATAATAATACAAGGATAGGTAGAAGCGAAGGGAGAAGGAACGAATGCAAAAGAGGTGGGGAGGGGAGGGGAGGGGGTGGGGGGACAGAAATAAAAAGAAGAAAAAAAGATTATTCAATTTTGTTCGAAACGCAGTCGAAAATGGGGATGAACAACGGGCGAAAGAGTACGCAACGCGTAAGCCCGAAAATAAGAAAAATTGCAAGGACCATATTGATCGTGTCCTCCGCTCTGTCTAAGAGCATATCGATTAATTAACGCGAACTCGTATTTAGCGCGACGATGGCGACGGTGTTAAAAGAAGAGAGAGGGTGGTTCTCGCTCACCCACCCAATGGGTGACCTTGACCCTCCGTCTCTCCCTGAAAATTCGGGTCATAGGCCAAGTCGACAACCGTCGGCAACGTCCTCGTGTAAGATATTAAAAGACTAAAGGCGAGTCGTTTCTTCGAGTAACCTTTTTTTTTTTTTTTTTTCCCCCAAGGTTACATATCCCGACACCGTTCAGCGCACCCAAATAGACCTCCTCCTTCGCTTATATTTTATTTTGTACGTCCCCGATACGCTTGCGTTCCTATCTTCGAATTTACTCCTTCACTCTTTCTTTTCATCCCCTTCCCCCTTTTTTAAATTCTATTCTCTATTTTGTTAAAACGAATGTTGTATATCGAATGATTCTCTTCCCCCTCCTTCTCTCTCTCTCTCTCTCTCTCTCTCGAAGAAACGACCTTAACACGTGGTTAAGCGCTAGCTCTCGATCGACACAGCTTATCGATAATATATCTTTTTCAACCGTAAATCATCCCTTCGTTACTTTCCGCTTCTTCGTGCGTCTATCTTCCCTCTCGAAGTCGCTGGCGGGCACACCGGTTCGCTCGCCCTCTTTTCCCTTCTCCTTTCTCTCACTCTCAACGTGAATCAACCGTGGATCAACCCCTCTCGACGCTCTCTCTCTCTCTCTCACTCTCTCCTTTATCGAGAGAACGTATCCTCGACGACGACAGTTTCCAGCAATTTCAATCGCGTTCGACTGTGACTGCTTTCTTAATCTCTCCCCTCCCCCCCCTTGGTCGGTTTTACGCGACCCTTCTCCTCTCTCCTTTCTTTAATCGCGAGTGAATTCTTCACGATTCCAACGCCCAGCGTCGAGAATGCGATATCGAAGAATGCAGTTGCTCTCGAGAGTGGCGAGCCCTTTCCCCCCCGTCGAGAGTACGTTCGTCCCCCCTTTTCCTTTTACGCCTCTCACCTACTATTCGACCACGTATACCTGTCATCGTGGTCGTCGCTTCGACGCTCGTTTCTTCGTCGCTACGACAATCGATCTTTTCGCACGCTCGGATCTTGCCTCTCGAAATAATGATCGATCTCACTCAGACAAAACATATATTCGGAGATAATATTTACGAAGGGTGTACAATGGAGGTATATATAATATATATGTTTCTTTTATTCAAATTTTAATTTATTCCTCTACCGCTGAAGCGGAGACAAAACGTTGATTTATATAACATAAATTTACGAGTTAAATTAAAAAAAAAAGTGTACAACCTCGAATTGAACTCTCTGCAGCAGAGGATTAAAGTAATCTTTAGAAAGTAAGAATCTTGGCAAGATCCAAGACCTTCTTCGAGGACAAAAAAAAAAAAAATTTGGAAAAATCCAATACAACCGGCCACCGATTAGCCCGCCAGCTAAAGGTACAGCGTAGTATCTAATAACACCCGAGTTAGACTCTCGCCCTCAAGCCAACCAAACAAATATAGTTCGCATACAATTATTACAATACGAATTCTTAAATATCAACTCTTATACTCTAACGATAGAATGATAATTAATAGGGTTGTGTCTCGGCTGAGAAGAAACTGGACGGTGGTCCAGGACATCCTCGTCCGAAGACGAGCCTGGAAAACCGTCGCTATGCGTGTGTACGTTTTTTTTCCACTGTGTACCGCGAGATAATAGTTTTCTTTTTTCTTCTTTTTCTTCTTCTTCTTCTTTCTAACACATATACCGTTTTTGTTCTCCCTTTTACTCTATATTTATTTTCCTCTTATTTCCATCTTCACCGCGATCGTCGTCGATATCCACGAATGTTCATCAATGTTTCTCGAGCAGGATAACGATTCCTGCTGATCCTCGATGTTTTGATGTTGACGGACGCGATTCGATAATCGTGATGAAACTGTATATGATACAATATGTGTATGTATATATATATATATATATATATATATATATATATAGTATAATTAAAT